AACAATACTCTTCACCAGTAACATTGTCGTCTCCATCATTTTCATTTTTAGACTCAACAGGCCAACTGTCACTTCCAGCTGCTGGACAAGGCACCCGACACCCCGGTGCAGCATCGTTCCGAGAACGGCGTAGTCTATCTGACGCCCGATTGGCACAGTCCTGACCTACAGACCAAGCCGGGTGAGCAGCAGTACATCAACGCGGTGGTGGACCAGGCGCGAACCCAGGCACTCACAAACAAACTCTTCTATCTCTTCTTCCGAGTCTCCTGCTTCTCTGGCCGTTCCGCGCCCACGGGTCGTCAGGAATTCGATGTCTACCCCGTGGGAGAGCAGAAGTTGGACACTAACTCGAAGCTCATCTTCCAGCACTCCTTCTATGTCTATATCTCTGTTTCAAAGTATCCCTTCTAGGCACCGGTTGGACAGGCGACGCTCAGCAGAGGAGCTACCCTGTGGACAGACACGAGACAGTGCATTCTTTCATTCCACCACCAGCCTGTCTTGCGAACCATCTGTCCAACCCCTCCCCCTCCCCCCTTCCTCGCCCATATTCTCCTGTCAAACGTCACACATTTTTTGGTTTTAACTGTTATCTTCCGGTTGGCACAGACAGTAGCCACTTTAGAAATTCAACTGCATGCGACCACTCCACTCCACCCCCCTCTGCCCACTTTCTATGAGATCCCCCCCTTTTGTGAAATGAAAGGAGTGCGCTGTTAATGGAAAGGTCATTTGCAGACGCTGAACGGTGTGAAGAAATTTGGCAATACGCGTAATTTTCCTCAAAGCGGACCCTTCTTATTCGATAAATTTTCTTGAGTTGGGTTTTTGTCCTTCCAGCCTTCAATAGTCAGGCTTTGATGGCAGTAGTTTTTGGATAATTTGGTCAGAGGCTCGAGGTGTATAGCTTGGCTGGACTTCTTCATGTGGAATGTAGCGAGGACCAGAGAGTCGTAGTCGAAGGTCTGCCAATTGGCGGAACAAAATGGGCCTATGTGGTGAATATGGTAGCTTGTGACGTATTGGGGAACAGATCTCGTGTGTCAAGCACCGGTCACCTTGACACCGAGCACCCTGAAAAGTTTTGAGTCCGCAGATGTGATGCGCGTGTATGCTCGAAGCCAATCAATGCACGACATTTCATTTGATTGGACGTAGGCGACAGAGGACATATTCTTGAGTCAAAGTT